AAGCTAGAACCGAATTTGCAACTTCAGCTCATCAATGAAAACATGTATAAACAATTGAACCCATTTCAAAACAACATTAAATTCAGCAATTAATAATACCCATAAGCTAATTTATGTATTCGATTACATGATCACACCCCTTAGGGAAGGGGCTTTCCAAACATAGTAAAAAGCAAGAAATCGCTACCAAAAAGATTATCCATCCAAATTTGTCAACAATCCTCAATGCTCAATGCCAAAATTCAAACTAGAATCCTAAATCTTCAAATCTAAGATCAAAATCTTCTCCAAGAGTGTTCAATAGTGTAAGAAGCTCTAAAAACTATGTAACTTTCTAATTCTCCAAAAACTCCTTTCAAAAATCATTTATATGTTTCAGAAAACTTCCCAAAATCTCAGCACGTTGTCCACTCGGCGACATTAGTCGGGATCGCCAAATGACTCGGCGATCTGCCAACGTGCACGTCTTCTCACCTTTTGTCTTGACTCTTGCGTACAATTGTTCTGGAATATTTGGCGAGTTAGGTCGCGATCACCGTTCCATTTGGTGCATTGCCGAAATGCTCGTTTGCTCGCCAAGTTTGCTTAGTACATGGGCTACTTCGCTGGAACTTTTGGCAAGCTAGAAGCTCACTCGGCATGTCGTCAAGTGGCTTTTGCGAGCTCCAGCTTCTCTTTTCTTCAGCTTTTCCAACTTTTTCGCCTCTTTTTGCATTGTATTGTCCTTGCCTTGTTCTAAAGCCTTCATTGCTGCATATAAACAAATTAATATCAGTTATGAGAACAAAATAGGCATTGAGGACACTAATTCATTGAATAATATGCCTTAAATGAGTCAAAAAAATTTACTAATCACTGGGACTAGCCATTGGGTCACCTTATTGTTCGTTTGATTTTTGTGCAAGTTTCTGTGTTTTGGAGCTTTTGAAGCTTGAATGGTTCACTTCAATAAAAACTTCAGGTAAACGACCTTAGAATGTAATTCTGATGGTTCCATTAGCTCCGGAATGTCGATTTTTATCTAGAAGGACCCTTGGTTTATATCCTAAAGCTTTCGAACTCATTTTAAGCAACTATGAGACTCACTATCTGTCGAGACGACTTCCAATAGAAGTGTCGACATTTTCGTTAAGTCCAAAATGTTGTTTTAATCGGATAGCATAGTTCATTTGTGCGCATAGATTTATGAACCAATCTCAAGCACTCGAGCGAAGTTTGTTGGGACTTTGCTTATTTGGTTAGTGCCTGAGATGGTGTAGCTGCAGCCATAGAATGCTTGACTGGTGCCAAAATGCTAAAGCGGACCATGCCACTAAAACGCCAGTTTAGAGGTGAGTGTTTTAATAGTCATCGCATAGTTATATTCTTTTTCAGGCCTCATTTTCTCTAAATGTTCTTCAATTGTAGGACTTAGAGGGCTCATTTGTTGTGGGAACTCGGAGTATATTGTTAGGATTAGCAGAGGAATTGTGGTGGAACCTTGTTAGACTTGTTACTTGCGCGATTAAACCCATGAATCACATTTCCTTTTCTCTGTTTTAGTCTTTATGGTGAATTCTTGATTATGTTGTTTTTGCTCGTTTTGAAGTTAGGATTGTGCCTGTTTAGGTCACAAGTTCCTTGAGTTGAATGATATTAATTAATTAAGTCAATTTTGTAATTCTTTGAGCGGATACCACAATGTCATATGATGGCGTGACAACGATCAGAGGTGTTTCGAAAGGGTAAAGCTCTGATTAAGTGGATTTTTGAGGCGCGCGATTGATATCAAGGTAGGCTATGACTTACCGATCTTAGATTGTGTTTGTTTTAGTATTTACAGGGTGTTTAGATAGTTTTAGGAGGGTTTTTTTTACATGATTAATATTTAGTTGATAAAATTCATGCCTTAGCTTACATTTTTTTGGGTATTTTGGTGGAATTAATGATGTTTTCCTTTCTTGCAATGCCTATCATGCCTTATTGATGCTTTATGTATGTTGCATGGTTATTTGTGTTTAGTCTTGGACTTAGTCTAGGCTTAGACTAGGGATTTCCATAGAATTGCTATTTGGAGCCGTTTTGCCTTAGAAAATTCTTCGACATTGGTTTGGATGGTTCTAGCCTCTTGTAGACTGATGTAGAAGACTTTTATCAGATATTGTGAATCCTTAGTTCAATGAAAACCCTGGCCTCATTTGATTTTTATTTTAAATCTTCCTACGTTATGTCCCTAATGTGATTCAATTGTGACTTTAGGTCTTGTTGGATCCTTTGGGTTTGGACTTGAGTTTCGAGATAGAGCAAGTCCTTCGTAACTTCGAGGGTGGTGTCGATCCACACTATTCCATTATTATGATGAACGTTTGGTTATGGGGTTCTCCGGAGTGTACTAGCCATGGTTTGAGGTTCGGGCACATTTTTACTAGCCATGGTTCGAGATCCGAACGCATGTCTACTAGTCGCGGTTTGAGTTTGGGCACACTTCTATTAGTCTAGTTTGAGTCATGATATCTTGGTTCTATTAGGTTCTTCAGGGTGCCTTCGCTGCGGTTAAAGGTTCGGGTCAACCATTTCAATTCTTTGGAATATATTTAGTCTTAGTTATCATTAGCACTTCCGTGAACTCATTAGGCTTATGAGGGTTCATTCAAATTATTTTCATTTCATTTGTGCACGAGTGTACCTTTTGGGCTTATGGGTCTAATTAGGTTATAGTTAGATGTCTTACTTTATATCTCCGCTTAATGTTAGATTACTGAGGTGCGTGGTTAGGCTTATCGCTATTATTCCTTTCTTTTGACTCCTAGTTACCATTTTACTTCTCGCTTTACATTATGTATTTACTCTCCAAGCTTAGTCATCCTATGATGCTTATTGATACTATTTGTTTGGTACTTATGCTATGTTCTGCATATGATTTTCCTGATGTAGATTTGAGCACCAACTAACAATGTTGATCTTGTACAGCAGCAGGGATATCCGGAGATCAAGGGTGAGCTGATGGCGTTCTAGTTTGACTCATCTTCATCTGTATATATAGTTTTTGGCTAGTCTTTTGTGTTCAAGATAAGTCTGTACTTATTTTTCTTGTTTTTGAGTTTGTACTTGTTTTATGAGCTTTGTAACACCTTCCACCAGGTCGTGGGATTGGATCATGTATGGTTAATTTCCCTATTATGTTTTCTGCTAAATTTTAAGTTCTCTTTTGTTTGAGCCTGTTACTTTTCGTTCTGGGGTATGTATTGGCTTACCTACCGATGGATGTTGGTATTACATCTCGAGTTCTGAGTTGTGACAATAATGGTGTGACCTTTCTAGTCTTGAATTTCTATAGCAATTTTTTTCTTTAAGTGACCATGTAAAAGGGTGTAATTATGTAGAAAATTAATTTGGTGCTTTTAAAGTTCCTACTTTAAAATATCACATATAAAATTTCTTCAAAATTGAAAAAAATAGATAATAGACATAATAAGACTCTATAGCAATTTTCCATCCCTACTTATTAGTTACTTCCTTTCAATGTGGTCAACTGTATGCGTATAACAGAGAGCACCTCCACCTATCTCTAGCACCGCCATCTCGTAGTTAACCTAATACCTCACCGTACATGGCCGCTCCGGCCACTGGTCAGCCTAATCTTGGGGCTGGCCAGTCGAATCTATTGCAAGATAGTAGTTTTCCACCGTTGAATCAGTGTTGCATAGGTCAAAGTTCCCGGTTGGATAACCTAAATTTAACTAATGAGTCTGCTTCATTGCGAAATGATAGTCGCCCGGTAACTGCTAACTATGCTAACGTTCTCAAAAATCATAACACCACTCAGGGTCAAAACTCTGGAATTTTACCTATTCCAATGAAGCAATTATCATATAATAATGGAATACCAGGATTAGTATGGACAGAAGAGTATTATCATATAATAATGGAATACCAGGATTAGTATGGACAGAAGAGTATTATCATATAATAATGGAATACCAGGATTAGTATGGACAGAAGAGTAAGTGGATAAATATCTTGGAAGACCTTCAATACACTGTGATCGAAAAAATTTCCTACGACTGGCCGGAGTTGGAAGAACTCCGCACAATTTTACCACATCAATGTAATATAATGGGGGAGTGTAAAATTGATCTTTTGAGAAATCAACATATACTCATTAGATTGGATCAGCATGCAATTTTCATCAATCTAATGTCAAAAAACATTTATTATATTCTTGCTAAGGACATATATTCATATTTTATGAGGCCACTGATATATGATGTTAAATTCAAAGTTGAGGTAGAGACAACACAGGCTATGACATGGATATCCTTCCCGGATCAGAAACCCACATACTTTGTGAAGGCAGCCTTGTTCTCATTAGCGACTGTTGTTGGAAAACCTTTACATTTAGATATGGCTATAATCAATAAGACTAGGCCTAGTTGTGCTAGGGTCAAGGTGCAAGTAGACCTTCTATGTGACTTTCCCAAGCATGTTGAAATGGAGATTATAAACGCGGCAAAAAATAAGTCTAGACTTGAAAAGGTTAAGATACAGTATTATATGCTTCCCAAATATTGCAAACAGTGCAAGGATATGATGATGAAGCATGCAGAAATCTACATCCAGAACTAAGCAAAATTAAGTGACCAATGATAAGGAGATGGAACAGGAGAAAAAAGGCAGTAGCAATGAAGAGTAGGGCAATGAATTTGCAACAACAAGAAGAAGAGTAATTCGGAGCTACTGGAAGCCAATAAATATTATAGGCATAGAATTGATTAGGGAATTCAGGATAAAAGGCATAAAAGAAAAAGGCATTAGTACCAAAAATGCTTTTGGCTCACTAATTGAAAAGAATAAAAAAGATCATCCTGATGAATCTACTGGGGGGACGACAACGAGAATGATAAATCCATGAAGCCAAGGGACTCCATCACTCTTCTACAAAAGAGTGGATAACATATGCATTTGCTAATTATCACGGAAAAGGAGGTGAGAAAGCAAGCAGTTTTGATAGCACCACTGGAAAAGATAATATTACTTAAATAACACATCACAATGGAAGAATACGGGATGAACATTAGAGGTGTAATCAACAATAGTGGATAGAAAATGGAGAGATTGGAGAGGGTGAGAGACAACTATGGTTTGCACCTGCACAACAGAGCCCAGATTTTAGCAAACCTAAATCAGCATAATTACAAAGAGCCAGGTAGTATGGCACTGGTGGAGACAACACAGAAAGAAGATGAAATTACTCCTGAAGGAGTTAGTAAAGGCAGAATTTCAAACACCCCTTCAAATTGCTGACTCAACCGTTGAAGAAAGATATCCAGCTGAAGATGTGTTACAACCTGGTACATCAATGCATAAAAAGTCAGTAGTAGTAATATACAGTGCAAAATCTGCCCCTATGGAGAAATTACATTCATTAATATGTTACATAGACACCAAGAAGGTAAGGTGGTGGAGAGCAATAATACCAGTGTTGAATTCATAGAAGATAAGGATGAGGTAAACAGTGATCAAAATGTAGTTGACGTATACAAAGAGGCTGGACTTTCTCCTTTAGTTTTATCTAAAAGCAAAAAATGTAAAGCTAAAAAGGAGGTTAATGTTCAACCAACAAGAATACAGACCAATAGGGTGGTAAATTCATCATTCAAATGATAATGAAAGCACTTTTTTGGAACATAAGGTCGGTGAGATCTTAAAATGAATTCTATAGAGTTCAGATGTTACATAGACACCTTAATTTTTTCTCAATTGCTATACTTGAACAATTTCAAGATACTAGGCCTATACAAAAGTTTAAAAGGAGATTGGGGATGTAGTATGTGAATTACAATTTAAATGGGCAGATTTGGGTATTTGTGAAGGACCACATTCAGGTTGGGGTGATCTCAGGTACTGCTCAACAGATCACTCTACAGCTCACCTTGAAGATGGAAAACAAATTAATACGTCTATGGTTTATACCAACTGCTTTGTATAGGAGAGGATATAACTTTGGAATGATTTATATTTCATCAGTACAAATTACTCAAGACCTTGGTTAGTTGGGGGAGATTTCAATGTAATATTGGGAGAAGATGAAAAAATTGGAGGTCTTTCTGTGTACATTAAAGAATATGAGGATCTTGCTTTCTATGTTAATTCTTGTGATATGTTTGATATAAATTTCTCTGGTAGTCCTTTTACTTGGTAGGGAGAGTTGATGAAGCTTGTATTTTCAAAAGGTTCGATAGAGTTATGATTAATCATGAGCTATAGGATCTCTTTGGCACCATGGAAACTTCAGCATTTAGCAAGGACTGAGTTTGACCATTCATCTTTGTTACTAACATGTGGAGGTCTATCTCAGAGTTTTTAAAAAATCATTTAGATTTTTAAAATTTTGGATTAACAAGGCAGATTTTAAAGATGTGGTGAATAGTAGCTGGTGTGGGGACTATTCTGATGATGTGTTCTTACAATGGAAGTTCTAGTTAAAGAAGACAAAGCTAGCTCTGTCGAAATGGAGTAGGGAGCAATTTGGTGACATTTTCAAGCAATTACTAATCAGAGAAGAAATAGTTAGATTGAAGGAAGAACTATTTGAGCACAGCCCTACCACAACTAATAGACTTGTGCTAAACTAAGCTCATGCTGAATATAAACTTTACCTACATTATGAGGAAGAGTTTTAGAGGCAAAAGGCAAGCATTCAGGGGGGATAAGAATATCAAGTTTTTTCATGGCTTGGTAAGAGGTAGGAGGAGGAGATTGAATTTACAAAGAATTATCAAGGCAAATGGACAATGGGCAGAAGAAGAAGATGAAGTGGCAGCTGAAGCTTTAAGATTTTTCCAAAATCAATTTTCTGGATATAACTTAGACAATGATTATTCTTTACTACAAAATATTCAACCACCGGTGACTACAAAGGATAATGGGTTGCTGAATATGACTTCTGAATAAATTGAGACCAAAAAGGTGGTCTTTGAGCTTAATGGGGAGAGTGCTTGTGGCTTGGTGGCTTTACAAGACATTTATTTCAAATATATTGGGATATTATTGGGGATGATATTCTTGGTATTGTTCAAGCTTTCTTTCGAGGGAATACTCTTCCCAAATCTATTACTCACGCTGATTTGGTATTATTACCTAAGAAGGAGACTATCCAGACCTTCTCAGACTTAAGACCAATTAGTCTCGGTAATTTCATAAATAAAGTGATTTCTTGAATCATGCATGATAGATTGGAGGGCTTGCTACCAAGATTAATTACTGTGAATCAATCTGATTTTGTGAAGGGTAGAAGCATCTCTGAAAATTTCTTGATGGCTCAGGAAATTATCTCAGATATAAGGAAGAGGGGAAACCAGCCAATATTGTGATAAACTGGACATGGCAAAGGCTTATGATAGATTGAATTGGAGATCTTTAGTAAAAGTGTTGGAACGGATGGGCTTTAATTCAGAGGTGGTTGACAAAATTTGGAGACTGATTGCCAACAATTGGTACTCTATTAATTAATTGTCAAATACATGGTTTTTTCATTCTACAAGAGGGGTGAAGCACAGGGATCCTCTATCCCCTGATTTATTTATTATTACAACAGAAATGCTCTCAAGAGCATCAAACCAATTATTCTTGAACACTAATTTTTTAGGCTATGAGATGCCAAAGTGGAGTGAGAAGCTAAATCATCTTGCTCATGTAGAAGATACTATCATATTTGTTGTTGTAGAGAGGAGATCTATTGCACTCATAATGAATACTTTGAAGGAGTATGAAAATCAGTCAGGGCAGAAGATTAATACGGATAAGAGTTATTTCTACATGTTTAGAAAAACTAACAATGTTTTTCCAAGGAAAGTGGAGGAAGCTACAGGTTTTGTGAGAGGTAATTTTCCAATAACTTACTTAGGGTGCCCTATCAGCCATGCCAAGATGAAGAAATCACACTTTAATGATCTGATTAAGAAAGTTCAGGATAAATTGAAAGTCTGAAAAGGTAAGCTTCTATCTTTTGGTGGTAAGGGGGTATTGATCAAACATGTCTTACTAAGTATACCTATATACTTGTTGTCTGTTCTTGTGCAACCAATATGTGTCATAAAGGATCTTCAGAGGATATTTGCAAGATTCGTCTAAAACTTCAAAGAAAATGGCAGGGCAAAGCACTAGATAGCATGGGATGACACTTTTCTGCCTAAAGAGGAAGGGGGTCTTAGCTTTAGATCCCTCTCTGATGTGTCCAAAGTTGTATTTGCAAAGATTTGATGGAATTTTAAAACTAAAGGTTCTTTATGGGCTTATTTTATGTGAAACAAGTACTGCAAGAGGTATAGACCTAAAGTGGTGGAATGGAGGGAGGATCTCAAGTGTGGAAGATGATGTTAATGGCTAGAGATAGCTTTGATCAAGAAATATGGTGGAACCTAGATGTGGTCATGCCAGCTTATGGTATGACAATTTGACACAACTAGGAGCCTTACAGTATATCATGTATGTTGATCATGTTATTGATGGAAACTTTGAAGACGTTAATCAGCTCAGATTGGATGGAAGGTGGAATAATAACCTGATGACAGATCTTATTGGTAAAAATATATGTGATCATGTGATTCATGTCATAGGTCCCATTCAGCAGACAGAGGAAAGGGACCAGCAATGATGGATGCGCAGTACTATAGAAATATTTTATGCAAGGAGTGCATGGGAGATTATCGAAAGCATAAAGGACCCTCAGAAGGATATTATGTTTATATGGGAAAAGGGATTACTTTTCAAAATCGCTTTTCTGATGTGGATGATATGGTTTAAAATTATTCTAATTGGAAAAGTCCTAGTTAGAAGCAGGATATAACTGATCACTTGGAATGTTGTTGCTGTGACAACAACATTTCAGAATCTTTTAACCATTTGTTTGTCCTATGCCCTGATGCTAATTATATCCAGAAGTTGTTTGCTGGAGCTATTGGTATGCATGATCCATTTAATCAGATGAAACAGACTATTTATAAGTGGTGGGATGAATATTGTGCAGCTAAGTTTAAGCCTTTGTGTAGGGCAATACCAAGTTTTATCATTTGGCAATTATGGATAAGAAGAAATATGATCTTACACGGGGAAGTATGACTAGTCATGCTATGATGTTGGAGATTAATAGACATATTCATCTAATGAAAAAAACAATATACCCCACGCATAAATGCCTAACAATTGGCCAGTCATTGTACAATTTCTGGAAAGCTACGTACCATTAATTAACACTATAGTGGTAAGGTGGAAGTGTCCTGAAGAAGCTACAAATGCAATTCAGATGGTTCTAGTCTAGTAAATTATGGAATTGAGTCAAATGCATTTTTCATAAGAAATGGTTAAGGAGAATTGGCTTATGCTGAAGCTTGTAAAATTTATTTATGTTCTGCATTATAGAGGCAGAAGTGAAATGTTTTAAAGGGGTCTGTTGTATTGTTTATGTCATTATCTTTTCCCTCTGGTAATGGAAATCGATTCTTTAATCATTAAGAAGATTTTAGATGGAATTTGGAAAGTACCCTGGGATATTTTAGTAGACATTGGAGAGATTAGGGAGGCAATGGTGAACAAGGATGCATACATATAGAGAAGGGAATAAGCTTGCGGACCTTTTAACTAACATAGTTGTTAATTTTGCACGTACAAATTCCATTCATTTTAATCATATTAATGAACTACCAACACAAACAAAAGCGAATCTACAGTTGGATAAGCAAGGAACACCAAATATAAGAATCAAGAAGGGTCAAAACAAGATTTTTAGATCATCAAGATAAAGTTCATGCAATTTACAGAAGGTCCACTCGCAGTTCAGATGTACATGGGTAATGTCAAACTTTTGTAAAGCTTGAGGGTTACCTTGGGCGATGACCATAGGGGAGTGTGCTGATCTTAAACATGACTTGAGGTAGTGGTATCACTTTTACGGAGCTCAACCTGCACAAGTCGTGAAAAAGGTTAGCATAAACTTCAAAATGATTTTTTCATAGAGTAGTTGGTAGGAGAAGGGTCATACCTGGAGGTGTTGTGGTTGAAGACAATCTGGGAGCCGAAGAAGTCTTCAAAGGAGTTGATTTCATAGCATTGGTGAGACATGGTAAATGTTATATGAAATTCACCCAAGCTCTTGGATCTTTGCTTCGTCCCGTTAATCTGGGTATGGTAGACCGGAGCTCTTACAATATTTGGTATGGAGGAAGCAAGGCGTGAGGATCTGGTGCCTCTCCGGTGAACTTTCATTTCTCTGATAGCTGTTAGTTAGGGTTTTGGTCTTTTTATTTTATTTTGTTTTTGTAGTCTTGTTGCGTTTGTTTCCTTTTTTGACTTGGGCTTACCAAGTCTATTATAAAAAATAAAAAAAGATTAAAAAAAAAGATAAATACACTTTTCAAGCAATGAGGCATGTCACTTCACTGCGTCTGCGTTGATGTCCCTCGATCATTATAGAGAGATATATGTTTAAAATGTGTCTTTTGATTCATAGTGATACATTTAAAAGATATTGTTTGTTTGTTTTTTTATTAAACAATATATTATGAAAAAATAAAGAAAAAAATCTAATAATTAAAAAAAAATGAATTTCATCGAACCTAAAATTGATGTCTCCTTAGGATTATTGTTCCTAGTTGAGACAGTGGCAACAAAATTCGACATGGTAATATTATATTTTTAGCACATAGGTTACTAAGGATAGCTAAATTATTATAAACATCTTCCGTTGAGGAGCATTTGCAAAATGTTTGTTTAGTATCTGTCATATCCATCTTTGATTCTTTCTTAACCAAATGATCTGCAACTTTCTTCCCTTCTCTAAAAATGTATCGAATAGTTGGGTTCCCCATCCATAACATTAACAACCTACAGATGTGACTAGATTTTTGTTTTTAGTATAATTTATATCTTCATCAAGAAGATTAATATTATTCTCCTACCACCTAGTGAAAAATAATAAATGTCTAGACACATGTATTTAACATATACTTTCTCGGTTTCAATTTTATTTTATTTTACTTTTTAGTCCATTTATATAAGTTATTTTTTACAACTCTTTGATTTCACTTTATCACATGATATGTTAATACCACAAATAGATACATTTAATATATCTTTAGTTTAACATCACGAGATTTAAAAGTTTTATTTCTTTTCTTAAACTCCGTATTGAATCAAAACCAAACAAATAAATTTACCTAAATAGAATGGAGTAACACCTGAAGAATCATGGATGAGTGAAAATTTTCATTTGAAGTTCTTTTTCTTTTCAGCAATTTAATGTTAAACGGCCTTATAATTCGTCTAAGCTCTAATTCAACTAGAAATATTTTCATTTGTGATACCAAGATAGAAATTTACTTTTGTATAGATCTACCTAAAAAAATTATCGATCAAATTATAAAAAAGATTAGTCAAGATTAACTTATCTTCTAGTTATAAAAAATAAATAATAATTAACCGTTAGAAAAATAGCACCACCTACAAGTTGATTCTCTAATTTTTCTTTACTCCCACCACCTAAATAGCCAAGTTCAAAGAGATAGTTTAGTAGTCAGTGTCTAATTTAGGAGACTGGAGGGGTGGAGATCAAATGAAGGTGAACTGAAATTACATATTCTCATTATACAAATTACAATACAAGTAGTTTTTATCTAGCTTGTTACAGCCTAGCCTATCTATAAACAAACAAGAATGTGAAACAAATAAATTCAATGAACTAATTACGGCAGGCTTCCAATATGTGAATCAGAAAAATTCTTCAAACATCTTTTCGAGACCAAAATCTTTATGCAAATCAAGTCATATCTTGTTCCATTCATTTTGACAGCAATTGCAAACCAACTTTTAAGTCCTCTAATGTGATTGTAAGTAGCTCATCCGAGTCTATACACTCGAAACTGAGTCTCAAATCCAAATTTTCTCTTGCATTAACAAGCATTGGATCCACTAGACCTCCATTCATCTCCTTGCGCTGTTTTTCAGTGGTTTCTTCCGCGATAAGTGCTGCAACAGCATCAATACTACATGAAGGACTCAACTTAAATCCGTATAACAAGCTGCTATCAGCTTGATTGGTCATTTTAAGATGATAAATTTTAGCTAGATCCTTCGAACTAAAGTTTTCAAAATGAAAGAACTTTGTAACTCTTCTGCAAAAGCCTTCATTAGAGGAGATTACACGCTTCATTGGCTCGCTATAGCCTGCAAAAATGACTACAATTTTCCCACTGTCCATGACAGACATTATCTCCTCTAGAGCTTCCAAACCATAATCCTTGTCATCGGACTTCTGCATAGGTATTAATCTATAGGCTTCATCAACAAAAAGAATCCCCCCTTCAGCTTCTTGGATCTGCAGATAAGTTTAGGGACTTGATCACATATGAGCCAAATGCCAAATATATAGTGCAACGTACCAAAAACTTACTTTTCTTCTTGTCTTTGGTCCTGTATGACCAACAAATTCACCAACCAGGTCTGTTCTCTGCACTTCCATCACCTTGTCGGTTGGAAGAATTCCTACCATATGAAGTAACTTCCCAAGAATCCTAGCAACCATAGTTTTCCCTGTAATAGTATTGTCAAAGAAGTCTAAGAAATCGACCCCGTAGCTATTCATCAAACACATAAGCTAAGCAGTAAATACATCTATGTAAAATCTCAAGCCTATACTGCAATGAGAAGAACTAGCAATATAACCAGGGTACCAACATTTTTTACTGACATATTTAACCTCTTCTTTTGTGTTCTTCAATAAGTACGCATCTCTTCTTTGTTGTAAAAAAACAATGACAATAACCTTACCTGTTCCAGGGTTTCCAAGAAAAGCCATATGGGGTGGTCTTCTTGCACCAACTTTAAGACCTAGGGCCTGCCGCCGCTCATCCAAGAGCATCCCCTTTGCCCATTTGCGGAGTTGCTGCTTAAGCTCATGTAAGCCCACTATTTTAGACAATTCATTTTCAAGTTCATCCATTTTTGCTTTTGTCTGGCCACATGCTTCAATAGCTTTACGTTTTCTTTGTTCTTCAAGATGCCGATTGAGAAGTTCTCGCAATTTTTCATTGCCAGGTCCTTGAGAGAGATGATTTATAGGAGTCATGCCCTCCTGCATTTCGTACATTCTACAATATGTAACAATCATAAAAGGAACACAAAGTCAGTGAATAAATAATTTACAATACATTGTCTTCGGCACTACAATTAGCATCCTGCTCTAACAATGTCTTGACCGTACAACAGTCTTCAGCTCGTAGCGAGTGCCAAACAGCAAGATGCAATGGAGTCATCCCATTCTGCAAGAAAGACTCAAGAGAAAAGTAAGAAATCAAACAATTGAAAACGGAAGACATTTTCAAGCTCAATTATAACGGAAGCAGTAGAATACACACATTTGCTTTGGCTTCAACAACGGCACCATAAGCAAGAAGCTTCTTTGCAGCTTCACTACACCCATTCTTGGCTGCCATGTGCAAAGGGGTCTCTCCGTACTGCAATACACAAAATAAGTCTACCTTTTTTTCTGTTATTAAACAGGAAAGAAAGAAGAATTGCACCAGTTAGGAGTCGAACTCAAAAAAGAAGTCCATTTTGTTACAACTGACTAAGTGAAGATTCTTAATTAGTAAGCTGCGGCACATACCATATTCTTGGCTTCCATTTCCACCTTTTCTGGGCCAGACCAACCAAGCAAAAACTTGAGTATTTCAACATTATTGTAACCAGCAGCAACATGAAGTGGTGTCTGCACCATCTGCACCCAGATAAATTGCAAACTATATAAAGAAAATGTTTTTTTTGCAGAAACTTGGGTATCAACTCTGACAAAAGACTGACCAAATAAAGAATACATATAGTTCACCCTTGTAACTGTTTTGAAACATGAGTGCCCTGTTTCATTCTTAAGAAATTTTTATGAAAAGTGAAACTTAAAAGCCCAGCAGATGAAAAGTCTAAGATAACAGTTTATCTTCTTTAAATAGGATTAGATACCACAGATGAAGTCATATTGCGAATATACTAATTCAAATGTATCAGAAGTTCAGAACAACAAGCAATCAGTTTTTTGGTCATGAAGAGAACAAAAGTCATCTATTTTAGAAGCAAAGCACTTCCAAAACGAGAGATATCTCTGCCTCAGAAATCAAAATGTCAAAACGGTACAAAAGATCATATATTGAAGACTAACAGATGGTCCAGATCTGGAAGAGAACTAGGAAGAAGTTATAAGAAGATAGGCAGTAGGTGATTGTACATTGTTAGTGTGATGTTAGGAGTGTACATTGTTAGTTAGAGGATTTGCTAGTCAGTTATAACTGATCCTAGTCTAAGCTATATTAGTTAGTTGATTATATACATAGATGAATGGAAACAATGCAAGTTTTTATCAGAGAAATGAAAATATCTCATTTCCCAATTACTCTCTCTTTCCTCTTTTCGAACTGATCTTCTCCCTCAACATCATTGTTAGTCTCTCCATTTTAATATTCCCAGTCAAGAAAACCTTGGTAGCGTAAACACTAAGGGCTTGTTTGGTTGGGGAATAAGTTATCCCAGAATTGTTATCCCGCCCTCAATGTGGGATAAAAATTAAACTACAATCCTAGAATAAGTTATCACACGACTTTATCCCAACCAAACATGGGATAAAATCGTCCTAAACTTATTCTCGGGATCAGTTATCTCTTATCTCTCATAGCAAATGAGCCCTACGAGTCACTAAGCCACCTAAAGATATCACAAGTACATTAAAATCACATTTTCCATTGTGAAGCAATGTGGCCTGGCTTAACATAATTAATTATGATGTTTACACTTTTTCATTACTAAGAAAGATGTGTGGGCATATTAGGAGAGATAAGATTAGAAACGAAGTAATTCAGAATAAGGTGGGAGTGGCCTTTGTGGGTCAAACTGAGGAAAGCAAGGCTGAGACGGTTTGGGCATATAAGAGAAGGTGCACACATGCACCATTAAGGAGGTATGAGAGATTGGCTATAGCAGGTTTTACGAGAGGTAAAGGTGGGCCAAAGAAAAACTATGGGAGGTGATTAGGCAAGACATGGAAAATCATCAACATACTAAGGGCATGACCAAAGATAGTAAGGTATGGAGGTCGATGATTAGGATAAAGGGGTAGTAGGTAGCTGAGTGTTATTGTACTCTTATGCAGGATAGGGGGGATCAATCCCTTCTTCTCATCTTCTCTTTATTTCAGTAGTATTACTTCATGTTAGCGTAGTACTAATTCTTTAATTCTCACTACTACTTGTTGCTTCATTTGTGTTGTTTATCTTGCTATTTTGTTGTTATTTTCCTTAATTTCTTGTTTAACCTATATTTATTTTGAGTTGAGGGTCTATCGGAGACAACCTCTCCACCCTACAAATGTAGGGGTAAGAGTTGTGTATATCCTACCCTCCCAAGGCTGCATTTGTGGAATTACATCAGGTATGTTGTTGTTTTTGCTTTTTCATTTTCTCATTTTGGTTATAATCACCACGTAATAACTCTATTTCCATTTCAATTTTTAAAAAATAACCCCATTTCCAAGAAGTGCACCAACAGAACCATTCCAACTTAGTGGTTGTAAGATTTTTACAGTATGCATTAGCAATTATAGGACTGCTAATTCATCAGAGTAAGAATATCAATGGTTCATATTAAGGCAAAGCTATTTCTATTTTCAGAAAAGAGGTTCTAGTCTAGAACTCAGTACATTTTATAGTATGCTTAATCAAACAGAACAGGCGATCTTCACAACTTCAATGATAACATTGTAGTTGTGACTAAGTCAATCTGCTATCATTGTAGTTGCTACTAGCTAGTGAAGTGAATTGCCACTTTGATGCTCAATCATTGGTACCACACAGACAATTATTAACTGACAATTTTTTTGAGGAATAATTTCAAAAAACTCTCAAGTTTAAAAAAGCACATATTGTGTTTGATATTGATTTTAGATTTATAGATCAGAATTTCCCCCATTCTTTTTCTGAATCAGCCAACCATATGCTATTTACATATATGATGGGACAATCACAAACTGTCATAAACAACAACCTGGAGAATTCTTGAAACATACTTGCCAAGAAAGTAGAATCTTCGTAAGAAGTCAAACACATAAGATTTTTAGAACCCACATTTTATTATCCCAATGTGGATCTTCAGAACACACATCCTCCCGGTTATGCAAACGAATTGAGAGAGATGAACAATGACATAAAAAAAATGAAAGAAAGAGGTAAGGAGATCGTACAACAGGGTTACGTTCATTGAGAAGAGAAGGGTTGCCAGAAAGCATCTTTTGAAAGGCAAGCAGATCCCCAGATTGAGCGAACCCGTGAATGGTTGTGGGTCTGGAGGACTTTGACCGTTGATCTCGTGACCTCTGCATTTCTGGTTGTAATTTTCCCTCTCTCCGGCAAAAAAGGAATACAAGTAAAGAAGAAGAAGAAGAAGAGACAGAGAGAGGGGAAATTTAATAGGCGGAAATGGCCGTCGGTGGCTTTGGGTTTCAGGGGATCTTTTTCTTTTTTTTTTTGTTTCTTTTTCTACAAATAAGCTACGATCATGTGGGTATAATGGCGCATAAAATGGTATTTAGAGCTTCGCGCGTTGTTTCCAAATCTAGGCTGGCTGCCTGATGTCTTTCCAGCTTGTATCCATTCATACTGCACGAAATTTTTTATTGTGGTTGAGGAACAACCAACAATTCCTTTTGACAAATGTTTTTGTGGCCCTTTTCTTGTTATCACACTCTCTCTCTCTTTCACTTTCATTTTCTCAAAATTTAGACTTTTCTTTATCTGTATTTTTTTTCCTTTGCAAAATCGTTTTTCTATTTTATCTTTGCACCCTTTTTTAATCAATGTTTCTATAGTTTTTTTAAGTCCTATCTCTTAGTGCAAAAAAATATATTCATACTACTATTATTTTATGCTTTTACAAATTTATTTGGTTGACTCTTTTTTTCTATTAATTCTTGTAACATACAAGAGAAAAAATAAATCTATAAAAGTTTCGTTTCACATTTTAAAATGCTCAACATAAAGAAAATTAAAAAAGAAAATCTTGAACAAGAAACACAAAAAATTAATATTAGCAATAATTATTGAATACATGCCACGGAAGTAGAGCATTTAACAAATATGAAAAAGAAAAGATAATTGAGTGCTTGATATCATTAATACATTATTATTAATATAAAGCATTCAAATACATTAAGTGGTTATAGAATAAACAAAAAAAAAAAACATATTTGATAATTAAGAATTGGGTGGTTAAAATTGAAAATCTCAAAAAATAAATTAATGACTAACATTTAAATAATTAAAATTAAATTGTGGATTTAAATGTAATAAATAATACCGATTGAATTTTAGTATATCAATTGGTTGATTATATGAATTTTTACTTTTTTGTGATAGTTTAATTTATTTATTTTAGTTTCACTATCTTGAATCTCTTCGAATTTATTTTTTAAAAAATTAATTTAATTTCATTTGGCATATTACTTTAATTTTCCATCAAATAAATGAAATATATATATATATATATCCGTGGGTGAATTCCAAAGTTTCTTTCTATTAAAATAAAATTACACAACAAAAAAAGAAAATGCAAGTAAGAAAGAAAAAAGTAAAAGAAAAGATTAATATTGAAAGAGAAAAAGTAAGGAAATGAAACAAGTACAATATGGGCCCCGATAATATACAAATGGCAGCGCAAAAATGCCTCACACAACTGACAGTACGTGCGCCTCACACATAATAAAAATTTTCCATACTGTACCATATCCAAAATGCAAAATTGATTAAGGGCCCATTTGGCCATGCGATATGGAATCATTAGATGAAATTGAAGTTTTGTTTGGACAGGCGATATGAAATTTGTGTTGTATATTTTTTCATAAACATAAAAATCTCATAAGTTGTAAAACTATTAAAATAACCTCAATTGTTTATTCAATCTTATCAAATAAACAAAAAATTATAAAATCACATAATAAATTATTACAAAGCTATTTGTTCTCCACTTAAATAATAGTTTCATCTAACTTTAATTTAATAAAAAAAATTGAACATAAATTTAGTGTACTAGTCTTTAATATAATCCTCCCACATAGTACAGACAATTTCCTCACGTTGAACTTGCATTTCTCGATCATGTGACCGAGAAGACGAACCAACATTGTTACTTTGAGTCATTTGTTGGTCAATAATAAATTTTGTGTCGGTGAGAAAAATAAATTTTAAAAAGTAATGATGTGATTATAAATTTTATTTACATATGAAATAAATGGTTAGTAGATATAAATGTGGGTTGTTTTAACAAAATATAAACTCGTGGATCAATTTTTTATTAAAACATCTCAAATCATGATATGAAATTTCCATATAATTCCATATCATGATTTTTGGAGAATATGGAATCACATCTCATGATATGGAATCATGAGATGGAATCAACGTAAAATCGTATGTCCAAACACTGATTTCATCTCACGATACCATATCGCATGGCCAAACGCCTACTAAATAAAGGAAAATGACCAAATATACCATGTACTATGAGAATAGTTTAAATATAGGGAAAATGGTTAAAATTATCCTTCAACTTTAATTTAATGGCTAATATTATTCTCCGTTATATTATCCGGTCATTTATAACCCTGTTGTCTACAAACTTATCACATATCGGACAACCCCAAATCAAATAAAATTACCCATTTTTCCTAAAAAGTAACCCAACACCCAATCTAACTCATGTCTAACCCATTTAACTAACTTAACCCAAACAAATTAACTCCAAAGCTTCTTCCTTCTATTTTCCAATTTTGCCACCAATAGTGAATGGAGCTCAACTACTTTTTGAGTCTAGTGAATGAAGAAGGAAGTGTTTCTCTGTTACTTGTGTTGAAATGGAGGATATTGCTTGGCCGTTTTTCAGTTCATCGCTTCTAATTTCCGCATTCACCACTATTTTTCAGTTCTTCTTCATGTGGCTTAACCGAACTCAAACTTGGACTCAAAATATTGAAAGTCAGACATGCATCTGTTTCGAATGGTACTATTTTGATATGTATTTGTTGTTGATATTTGTCCAATTTGTGGTTATCCGTTGATTTGGAGAGCAACAATTTGAAAGAGAAGGCAGTCCGTCATCAAGCTCAAATTCAAAAAATAAAATTATTGCAAATGAGCTTCCTTTCGAGTAAATATTATATCAAATAGTTGAAAACTACTTGGACAATTTATATCTGAAATTTTGGATAGTTTGGCGAAGGATGCCATATTTTCTTTGGGTGAATTTGAGGAAGAGGAAGAAGAAGAGGAAGAAGAAAAATATTGAATTTCATAGAAAGAGGAGAAGGAGAAGAAGAAGTAGAGCATTTCATAAATAAACATTCAAGATTAAACAAAAAGCATAACGTACAGTTATATATAAAGGTGGGGGAAGAAATTGGTTTCAGAAACAAGAAAATAGTTAAAAATTGGGTGGGGTTAAGAGAGGGAATTTAATAAATTGATAATTTTTAGGAAAATCGGGTAATTTGGATCAATTTGAGGGAAATCATCCAATTAGGGGGGGGGGGGGGGGGGATATATTCAATAAACTTGTAGACGACGGGGTTATAAAGGGTGGATAGTATGATGGAGGGTAAAACTAGCTATTAAAATAAAGTTGAGGGGTATTTTGACCCTTTTTTCCTCAAATATATCCCTCGTTATACTTTCGGTCCAAATATACTCCATTTGTTATACATTCATTACAAATATACCCCTCTTGTTATACTTTCAATCCAAATATACTTCGATTATTAAACTTTTGATCCAAATATATGTCTCTCATTATACTTTAGTACAAATTTGCCCTTTATTTTGACGGAATGACACATGACATGTCCAGAATCAAATAACTCAACTTTAATTTTAAATACCCAATTCATTTTGCAAATTCAATCCATACCCAACCCGACCGAAACCCTTTTACTTCATTTTTTTGCTCTTCTTCTTTTCTATTTTGTCCAACCTCTATAGAGAAAATCTTCTTTATTTCTCCTATCTACAAGGTTTTGTGACTGAATATTGGAAGACAAAAATGTTACAATAAAAGTGTCTAAGAAATTTATTTTATTATTTTTCAAAAGAAAATTCATTACTGTCACTAACCAAATTATTGGATCACGCGAATTCCTATTTTATTTTAACTAGATAAACAAATCCTTACCACCATTTATGTTTAATAGGAACCTTGAAAAGAAATACGTCTAAGCAAACAAAGTAAAACAAAAGTAAGAAAATTCATTCATTTTCAAAAAATCATTTAACAATTTGCAAGGACCTTGTCTAGATAGGTACATGATCTTTTACCGAGTACAAATAGAAAATATATATTTTTAAAAAAATCATAAAATACTGACACAACTTCCACTTGAGGACGGAGTAAGTAGAAGTTGTTGATGAGTGACCACTGTCCCCCGCTTTAAACACTCTAAAACAGACCTACTTTAAAAGTAGTACCAGCACACCGCACAAACTGGTAGACATCATAGGACGGCCTGATTTAGATCCATGTAACACATCACAAAATCAATAGAAACAACATATTATAGAACAACTTGTAACACTCCATAACTAGAAAGAACTAGAAAGAAGTCAAAAAGTGGAAATAGTCATTTTTGGAAAGAATATAAAAATTTGGAAAATTTGTTAAGTATGTTAAGTTGGATTTTTGGTCAACTTCAAACGACCATACCTTCAAGCTCAGGATGAAGTAGGTGTATTTCCAGATATCGTAGGAAATATCTTGGAATAATCTTTCCAACGCCGCCGAGTTTACGCAATTTCGAGTTCGTATGACTGAGATATGCTCATTTGAAGTTGGGATGTTCAATTAAGGAAAGTCTAATCCGGATTTTAGAAGGGCATTATGGTCCTTTCCTTACCCAATTATTTTATTACGTCTTTGGGTAATTAATTGGGGTCTAAACTGATCTTATTCAGTTTACGCTTTTTGGAAAAAGAGCTAGGGTTTTGAGAAAAGAGAAAAGAAGAGGAGAAGGAGCAAGAATCCTCAAGATCTTCAAGAAACGCTTGTGGATTTCGTCAAAGGGTGATCCCTACGAGGTATGTGATATCACATAGCGTTGGCTAGTTTACCCACGCGCCAAACATGTTTAATTCAGCGTATTTTTGTCCTAAAAATATTGATAATTTGATGTTCTTGAGTTGTATTCTTGAATAAGTTTCGTTCTTGAATTTAGGATGAGAGTGAGGAGTTCTTGAGAGTTTAATGTTGATTATTAGAGTTGCTTTGAGTTAGATTCTTGTGTATATGCTTTGGGTACCTGAATCTAAAGAGATATTGAGGAAAGGAATAGAAATTAATCGAATTAAGGTCAGAAAACGAGTTGAAAAATTCGTCAGATCGCACCTGGAGAGGGTCTGGCGCGGCACGCCCCATCTGCGCCAGAGGGGCTGGGGCGGCGCTCCTGCAGTGCGCCAGAAATGAGCCCC